TATAATTGAAAATAATGATCAAACTGTACAACTTTAATTAATATTACTTAAATTTATTGAATTTTATTGTAAATGTTTAACATGGATAGTCAGATTAGAGTGCACATTAATAATTTTTGTCGCAAATATTTATATTAAGCTTACTGATTAACTTGTTTATTAAAACATTATGTGATAAGGTGCTATTTAGTTAAAATTGTGTACTGATTACATGTTAATTGACGTATATATAAAAGTGTTTGACAAAAGGGTATTTAGTCGTTTATTTAGGTTTTAAAATCGTAGAATTGAGCTAGAACAAAATAAAAATTTTTGCAACTATTGTTTTCTGGCACCAATCCACCGGTATGCCCAATTTTATTCAGACATAAAGGGAACGGTAGATATGACTGTCCATCAATAACTCAAAAACTATAAGATGTAGGTAAGTTTTGATTTTTGGAAATTGTGCGCAGGGTCAATATGAAAAAACTAATNAGATGTACACGTGAGTTCTTTATAAGGATATATTGCTATATGTATAGCATTAGTAATTTTGCAAGCTACTGATATTTTGCCTTATTGATTTTTAATAATTCGTTTTATGTAAAATTTTGATGATTTGAAATTCATAAATCTCAGCAACGGCTCAATGGATCAGGGTGATCTCAACTTGGTTCGAATTGTCTTTCAAAATTCTAAAAATTATTTGCTTGCATCGATACTGTATTTTGTGCACAAAACTTTTTAGGCTAAAAATAAATTTTCTCTATGTATTTATTTTATATCTGTTTGATTGTTTTACACCTTTACCTGTATTTTTCAAATGCATAGAAAATTTATTTTTAGCCTAGAAAGTTTTGTGCACAAAATACAGTATTGATGCAAGCAAATAATTTTTAGAATTTTGAGACAATTCGAACCAAGTTGAGATCACCCTGATCCATTGAGCCGTTGCTGAGATTTATGAATTTCAAATCATCAAAATTTTACATAAAAAGAATTATTAAAAATCAATAAGGCAAAATTTCTCAAAATCCAGAAATTAGTTTTTTCATATTGACCCTGCGTACAATTTCCAAAAATCAAAANAGGATTATTAAAAATCAATGAGGCAAAATTTCTCAAAATCCAGAAATTAGTTTTTTCATATTGACCCTGCGTACAATTTCCAAAAATCAAAACTTACCTACATCTTATAGTTTTTGAGTTATTGATGGACAGTCATATCTACCGTTCCCTTTATGTCTGAATAAAATTGGGCATACCGGTGGATTGGTGCCAGAAAACAATAGTTGCAAAAATTTTTATTTTGTTCTAGCTCAATTCTACGATTTTAAAACCTAAATAAACGACTAAATACCCTTTTGTTAAACACTTTATGATTGCATATGAAATACACGACATAATTCTTAAACTCCATGTTATTCATGAGAAACATATCATAACAATAAAATCCAATGTCTTTTGCTGACACTCTCTCTATGAATGACATTATTTTGAGTCTATGTTTGGTTTAAATCTTTGTATTTTTCGCACAAATATATGAATTCATAATTGAGTGACACTTATAGGCAGCCGAGATAACCTTGGTGCTCATTAAGTTAATAAATACAATATTACTGAATAATGCCACAAATATACATAGCCAAATATATTTGCTTGTAACTGTTGAATTTTTGTCAAATATTATAAACAGGAACACCTCAAGTGCGGGACTACGATAATATAAGTTAAATAAAAGTATCCTGGTAGAATTATTTAGTTTAAACGCAATTTTAGTCACACTATTATATTCATTAATAGCATTCATAAGCATTGTATTGTTTCTAGTTTGAATAGCTAATTTAATTTTTGTATACACCTCATTATATTTATATTGCAAATAGGTAACAGTTATAATGATTACAACTATAGCCCACATTATCAGGGCACCTATTTGCTCAACATATACACTCCAACATAAATACCATACTACAACACCAATTAATGAATAATCACTATCATTGTCCAAATAAGATTTAACTGAGCAATACGTATATAAAATCAATTGAAGCAAGGTCATAACCATAAATGACTGCTTTATGTAATACTTGGTTAGTATAAAGAAACGAAACAATAGCTTATTATTATGGGATGTATGTAACGGAGGGTTAAGTGTATTGTGTTTAATATGACTAAAGAATTCGTGAATATATGAGGTTTTGTGAAACTCTTTGTATTGAATGGCAATCAATAAAATAATCGCTGGAAAGCACCCGACGCTAAATTGAAAGCATATTAGAAACTGGTTGCCCAGTACGTAGGTGAAATCGCATAGTAGGTTTTGGACCATGGGTGTTTTAAGTGTCGCAATTAGCGCAAACCGTATGGTAGATATGAATATTATAATTGGTATAATTGTTATTAATATGGCTCTTGGCGTACGTTTAATATTACGGACGTAATCATCGAAACTATACGTATACAATAGTGTCTTGGTCAGAAATGCTTGGAACGCATCGACTACTTCAGCAGGGTCAATATTTTGATAAACAAATTTATCATATTTATCTTGAATAAGCTTGTTCATTACAATTCGAATTTTGCGAATCACATTCATTTTTATCTAGTTATATTAAAATACAATGCTTACAGTACAATTAAACTGATATTTATTGAAGTAACTCTAGAAATGTATTATATATAGCAAACTGTAATTATTGCTCTAGCACAAGTTGTCACATAATGTTTGAAATAAATAAAATTATATTACAAATTATTATTATATTTTTAAAATATTTATTATTCAAGTTTTTATTTAGGTTTTATATTAAAGTACCTTATTATAAATTATGTAGAACTAGTTCAGACTGTAATTATAGCTATAATGCATACAAAAACATAGTGTATAATACTAGAGTTTATTCTGCACTAGCTAGTCCAATTAGCTCTGGATATACATTGCTATTGGACATACATTGGGCAAAACTAAAATGTATATGTATAAATTATTAGAAATACTAAATAAGTACTTTATGAAGTAACATTAAAAGATTTGAACTTGACATTATAGTTTAAATAAAATACTTTTATATTTATTTACTAATAATGATAATGATAATACAAAGTATCACAATAACATAATTGTGTGCAAATAGATCATTTATCAAGTTAAAAATATGTCTATTAAATAAATTTCCATTAACGTAAAAATAAAATGCCATTAATGTCTGTCAATGTATAACTTAATAAAATGATTTATTATGATATTTATTATTTTAATAAATATTTTTCCACTAATATTTATAAATAGATTTAACATTGAAATTTAGTCTGAATTACTGTAAATCTCCAGTTTTAAAAAGTTCAGAGTTGGCAACATTAATTATATACAATATTTAATTAACTCTCATAAATTTTAATATAATAAATACATAAAATACTTATACAATTCATAGTACTAGTAGTTTTTGCAGTTAATTTTTTCACAGTGTATCTAAAATATTTTATAATAAACAATTTTCATAAATACTTAATTAATACTGAAACAAACGTGTATGTACTATATAGTAAAAATATAACTATTGTTGAAAAAAATGATTATGTAATTTATCAAATATACTTTATACTTGTATTACATCAGTAGTTGAAATAATTAAATAATTAATTAATACTATTAATACTAGTACTATAAATAGTTTTATTTATTTAGTTCAATTCAACTGAATGTACCTAGAATACCATATCATACACATCTTATCAGGAGCACTTAACTATAGTCCGCAAAAAGTCCGAATATAGAGACATGTTGAACAAACATTTAGGTACAAAACTATTACCAATATATACCCACATTTATTAATAGTGAATGATATAACCATTCAAATAGGGTGCTTAAAATTAATGAATTTATTTTTGTGTTACGGTATAAAGTTTGTGTTAAGGTATATTATAGATTAAAATATTTTTTATCTAAACAAGGTCATGCATACCTAAAATATTTTATCACAAACAGCTCAGTAGTACCAGGATTACCTAACGGCAACACTGATAAAGTACTTAGAATTTAATCAAAATTGTTGTGAATTAGTTCACATGTTCATTAATATCACCTTGATGAACTTAATATAAAAAGAAAATAATATTTTTAAGTTTAAGTTAATTCAGTAAATAATGATGACTAGGATACTATTTCCAGTTATTATCCAGGTATTTGTCACATGTGTCCGGGCGAGTGACAAAGTGTTTTGGTATGAAAGCCCGGCCGCCGATGGCATGAATGAGGCCCTGCCTATTGGTAATGGACGGATAGGTGGACTGGTCTATGGACACCCGGGTTAGTCATAAAAAACTATAATTTTGAAATTTTAAAATATTATTTATAAAATTTTTAATAATTTTGCTTTAACACTTAAAGTTATACAATATTAAAAATATATATTATTTACATCACATTCATTAAAACAAAATAAATGTAATTTATATTTACGTTCCCTAAATACAGCTTGCATATCTTTAATTTATTTATTGAAAGTTATATAATGTATAAAAAATTATTTCTGAATATTCCGGGTATTTATAAAATACAGAAAAAGAGAGAATAAATATGAATGACATAACTTTATGGACGGGCGATGATAACCCGACCCAAGACTATCACGGCCCGGGTTTTGGCGATTACCAGACATTGGGTAGTCTTGTCGTTGATTTACCCGATCATAAGGTCAACACTGAGTACAAGCGAGCGCTGGATATCGGGGACGCGGTTACGACCGTTCAGTACGAATCACATGGCGTTCAATACAATCGCGAATACTTTGTTAGTCATGTGTCGGACGTATTGGTCGGCCGGTTGACCGCCGATAAGGGAAAGGCATACACCGGACGCATAGAACTACAAGACGCACATAAAGTGGCCGTTCATACGGTGGACAATACGATCGCAGTGGACGGCAAACTAGTGAATGGATTGCGGTTTGCGTGGAAAGTGTTGGTCCAAAACACCGGCGGAAGTCTCAAAGTGAACGGCACTGTCATTGAGTTCAACGGCTGCGACGCCCTGACACTCATCGTTAGCGCCGGTACTGATTATGTGTTCGACGACTCGAAGAAGTTTAAGTCCGGCGAAGACCCGGCTGTTCACGTCAATGATTGGGTCGCAAAGGCGTCCGTGAAATCGTACGAAAGCTTACGGACGGAACACGTGTCGGACTTCCACTCGTTGTTCAACAGAGTGGACGTCGATTTGGGTCAGTCGTCGGCAAAACAGACGGCGTTACCGACCGACAAACGGAAGGTCGAAGCGGTCGCGACATTCGATCCGGACTTCGAGGAAATGTTTTTCCAATTCGGAAGGTATCTCATGATATCGTCGTCGCGAACGAGTCTTCCGGCAAACTTACAGGTCATTCACAAAATGTTTCCGAGCATTCATTTATGTAAATTTCAATATCATATACTTTACAAATAATTGTTGTAAATAATATTCATATGATCAGGGTCTATGGAACGACAACAATACCCCGGCCTGGCATTCGGACTACCACACTAACATTAACGCACAAATGAACTACTGGCCTCCGGAGACAGTTAACCTTGCTGAATGCCATTTGCCTCTATTCAATATGATCCGGAGTCAATTGAATGTATGGCGCAAATGTACCCGAGCGTCAATGGACTTACTGACACCACTGGGCAAACACGTGACAAAAGGTGTGGCCGTCTCTTCGCACAACATCTACGGAGGAATGGGAGGATTGGACGGCGATAAGACAAATTCTGCTTGGTATGTATGGTAAAAAAACTGTGTGTTTCATAAATAATGGGTTTAGGGCCGGTTGACCTACTTTATAGATTTTTAATGTTTTTAAAATTTTCTACTCTATTGCAGACCACCTAAAATAATAGATATATTTTCATATAATATATCACAAAATACATTTTTAATATTTAGTTTATGAATGGTATTAATAGATTTATATTGAATTTGTTTTATTAAAATTGAAGTGCAAGTTTACCTTTATTAATCTAGACAGTATTATGTCAGGTTTAATATGGAATTTTTGAAAAATTTAGAAATATAATTTAGATATGTTATTTACCAAAAATAATTTTTTACGTCGAGCACAGGTATGCGCAACACTTTTGGGAACATTACGCGTTCGGATTGAACAAGACATACCTAAAGGACGTGGCCTACCCTTACTTAAAAGAGGTGTCCGAGTTATGGGACGAGTTGCTAAAGACTGTGACGAACGGCACTAAACAACAGTTGGGAAAACTGGTTGTCCCTAAAGGGTGGTCACCAGAACACGGACCCCATGAGGACGGCTGCAGTTATAATCAAGAGATTGTATGGGATTTGTACACAAATTATGTGAAAGCGGCGGATGTGTTGGGAGTCGACAAAGAGTTCAGGGATCGCGTGGCGGGTGAGAGGGATAGGCTGTTATGGCCAGGGATTGGATCGTTCGGACAATTGATGGAATGGATGGAAGAACAACCCGGAGAAAAGACCGACCATCACAGACATACTTCCCATTTGTTTGGCGTATATCCGGGACACCAATTCAATTGGGAAACAACACCAACTTTGGCCAACGCATCCCTGGTAATCTTAATTTATTTGAATATTTTTAGACTAACTTTGAGACATATACCAACCCTAATTGATTTGCACTGTGCTACTTTGAAGTTATGGTAAGGTAGGTTGTATTACAGTGAAACCTACCTACCTAAATTTAAGCTAAAGTTAAAATAATAGCCAATCTACAGTGTATTGGGTATATGACTTCAAGTGAACCTATTTTAATGTCCAACACTGTATTCACTGTTAAATATAATATACTGTAAACCCAACAAATAGGTGTCGCTTAACGCCAGAGGTATAGACCCAAAGAGCGATGTGAGGGAGTGGTCGTTCGCGTGGCGGACAGCCATATACGCCCGGCTCAGGGATGCCGAAAATGCTTATCACTTACTTCGCGAGCTGTTGTCCGCACGTAATACCTGTCCCAATATGTTTGGATTACACCCTCCGATGCAAATCGACAGCAACTTCGGTATAACCGCAGCCGTCGCCGAAATGCTGGTCCAGAGTCACGCAGAAGTCATAGAACTGTTGCCGGCTCTGCCCCGGGAGTGGACGGCCGGACACGCGAAGGGTCTGCGAGCGAGAGGGGGTCACCAGTTGGACATCTATTGGGCTAATCATACGCTGAATAATGTGTTGATTACAAGTCTCGTCGCCAGTGATGTAAAACTCAAATTTGGAAATACTGTCAAAACAATTACAGTGACTCCGAGTAAAGCGATTCATTTGGACTACAATCTGAATCCAATTCCTTAAAGAAAATATCATTGTATTTAATTATTGAAATAAAAGTTTTATTTAAAAATATCAGGATGGATATTTATTACTAACGTTTATAAAGTAGTAGTCTTGAAAAATTGTATTAATGTAACTTATTAAGTGTATTCGTAACAATTTGAAATAAATTAAAATAAATGGAACTTACTGATTGATGTTAATGCATTATTTTCTAAGTAATTATAATTAGGGCCACTTATATTTATTACTTATCAGAATGTTATGAAACTAAAAAGGAAATGCGACAGATTAATAATAAATATTTTTATCCGGCTAAGGCTGACAATTTCTGGTCAACACGATAAACAGTGTTCCAGATAGCATGCACAATTTTAAAAAATAATTAATCCACTGAGTTAACAATTGAATGTTTAGAATAATTGGGTTTATTATTTATTAATTTTGTATATTATAAATTAAAATTTTGTTAGCTTAGTGAATTAATGATTTTTTTATTAGATTGTGCATGCTATTTAGAACACCTTGCGGACCGAAGTGGTCAGATGCTGTCATACTTAGCAGGATCAAAATATAAATTATTACTCAATCCTATACTTTCTATAAAATACCCAAATAAGAGATGCCTCCTGAGCGACCTTTCGGAAATACCTCCTTTTTAAGTAATTTATGTATTTTTTAAATTATTTTCTCATAAGTTATATGGATATAATAATGTTATTTTAACTACTACGGTAGTAATAAATTTTACGCAATGTACCAAAAATATTTTATCACAAACAGATTATCAGTATTACAATTGATTAAAACGGATATTAACAGTGTACTGTGTTATTAACAATTAATTTTTGTTATATATTTTATTTGATATCTATTTTAAAATAATATTTATGAAATTTATACTGTAGTTGAGTGTACGGGGATTTAAACAACGAGTGTCAGTTTCATTTTATTTTATTTTATTAATAATATAAAAATTGATAGTTGATTAAAAGTTTAATTTTCTTTACAAGGTCATGTATAAATAGAATATTTTATCAAAACCAGCTTACCAGGATTACTTAACGGTAACATTGATAACCCACTTAGAATTTAATCATAACTATTGTGAATTAGTTCACATGTTCATAATTACCAGTATAACTTTGATTGACATAATACTTATATATAACAAAAAAAGTGTATTTATTAAGTTTAAGTGAACTCATTAAATAAAGATGAGGGGGATACTATTTAATATAATTATCCAGGTATTTGCCACATGTGTCCGGGCGAGTGACAAAGTGTTTTGGTATGAAAGCCCGGCCGTTGATGGCATGAATGAGGCCCTGCCTATCGGTAATGGACGGATAGGTGGACTGGTTTATGGACACCCGGGTTAGTCATAATGAAACTATATTTAATAATTAGTTGTAATAAACTATAAATTAAAATTCCGAAACAGAATATGTTTAGAGTTATATTAAAAGTTTAAATTATGTAAATAAATAAAAATTATTTTTCTAATTATCCCGGGTAATATTTTAGAAAAAGAAAGTATAAATATGAATGAAATAACTTTATGGACGGGCGATGGCAACCCGTCTCAAGACTATCGCAGCCCTGGTTTTGGCGATTACCAGACTTTGGGTAATCTTACCATTGATTTACCCGATCATAAGGTCAACACTCAGTACAAGCGAGCGCTGGATATCGGGGACGCGGTTACGACCGTTTGGTACGAATCACATGGCGTTCAATACAAACGCGAGTACTTTGTGAGTCATTTGTCGCAGGTATTGGTCGGTCGGTTAACCGCTGATAAGGGAAAGGCATTCACCGGACGTATTGAACTACAAGACGCGCATAATCTTACCGCCAAAGCGGTGAACAATACGATCGAAGTGAACGGAAAACTAGTGAATGGATTGCGGTTTGCGTGGAAAGTGTTGGTCCAAAACACCGGCGGAAGTCTCAAAGTGAACGGCACTGTCATTGAGTTCAACGGCTGCGACGCCCTAACGCTCATCGTTAGCGCCGGTACTGACTATGTGTTCGACGACTCGAAGAAGTTTAAGTCCGGCGAAGACCCGGCTATTAATGTCAACGCGTGGGTTGGGAAGGCTGCCGACAAGTCGTACGATAGCTTACGGGCGGAGCATTTGTCAGACTTCTACGAGTTGTTCAACAGAGTGGACGTCGATTTTGGTGAGTCGTCGGCACAACAGACGGCGTTACCGACCGTTAAACGTAAGGTCGAAGCGGTCGCGACATTCGATCCGGACTTCGAGGAAATGTTTTTCCAATTCGGAAGGTATCTCATGATATCGTCGTCGCGAACGAGTCTTCCGGCAAACTTACAGGTCATTCACAAAATGT